AAGAATATATTGATGACTTTAGCAAACAGCTAGAACAAGAAGCTTCGGACAACAAAACCTCAACATCAAAGAAAGTCGCCCACGAATTAGACTATAATCTAGACCAGGCCTCTATTATAGCGCAACCCGATACCGAGCCTCCTGATATGCCCGACATGCAAGACGACGATAACAATATAATACAAACAAATAATGAACAAGATCCAATTGTTGGAATCCCCATATTAGACACAGCATTAAATTATGGCGCAAATCAAATCATCATTTCGCAAGGGCTACATTCACCAACAAAACCAAAAATTACCATTCTTTTCGAAAAGAAACGTCGAATTACCGTCCAACTTGGAAAAAATGATTTCGAAGCAGATATATTAAGATTTATTAAAGAAAACGTAGTTCCCGGTAAACTATACTATTTATATTTCGAAAATCAAGGCGTTCACGAACCAATCTGCGAAGTGATAATAAGATATTTCAGATGGTCGTCTTGAAAAGACTAATTGATGTGACCAATTAAAACGACATTCCCGAAATTATCCAAAATTATCATGAAGACAAAAGCAACCACAGAGGCATAGAAGAAATATTAGAAAGAATCAAAAGCAAGTATTATTGGCCAAACTTCAAAAATTCTATTCAAACCTATATTAACCAATGCGAAATCTGTACTAGGACTAAGTAAGAACGATACCCAATTAATATACAGATGAATATCGCACCCACGGCGATAAAACTTTTTGAAATAATACACCTTGACACATACACTTTGGAACAGACAAAATGTTCAACAATTTCAGATAGTTTTTTTAAGTACGCTCAAGCTTATGTCCTAAAATCTTTGGCAGCAACAGAGATAGCCGATAGTCTGCTTTCCTCCTCTTCACACCACGGTGTCCGCAAAAAAAAATATTTTGGATAACGCAACCGGATTTAAGAACACTGTCGTTACGGAAGTTTTACAACTACATAAAGTTAAAGTTCACTTTATTTCGCCCAATCACCCACAATCAAACGGTGCAATTGAACGTTTCCATTCAACAATTGCCGAACATGTTAAATTATTAAATGTCCAAAATTTCAATAATAATTTAACTATTACCCAAAAAATTTCATTCATTCAGTAACGAAACTGAAACCAATTAACATAATCAATGGTCACACTAGCTTCGAAGACCCCTTCGATCTGAATTTAGAACAATTATTATTATCTGATTATATTAGTAAACATGAGGACCTATCTCAACTACTTTACTCCAAAATTAACGAACCCGGACGCGATTTTACTAAATATAAACTATTACAGCACAAGACACGCCTCCAACTTCGTCATTGCAAAATATAATCGGTCTCAGCGCTATTTTACTAAATATAAACTATTAGAGCACAAGAGATGCTAGCCCTTAACGTCATTGCAAAATATAATCGCGCTCAGCACATCCCTGGAAAATCTAATCGTTTGTACGATACGTGGCGGATCTAGCCTCAAATTTTACTTGTTGTAAGAAGCAGGGCTCACTCTTAGAAGTTAATTATTATTGTTAGTATTGTGTGTTTTCATTATGGATAATTTAATTCAACTTATTAATCCATTGTGTAGTGTTAGGGCTTCGCGAGACCACAAGACTAGTCTTGGTCTTGTCTTGGTCTTGGTAGCAAGACCAAGACCAAGACCGAGACCTAAAAAATCTTCTCAAGACCAAGACCAAGACTTGACGTTCAAGACCAAGACCAGACCAAGACTCCCTTTCAAGACTCTCGTCTTGGTCTTGGTCTTGAAAAAAAATAAAAAATCCACTCAATATTTATAAAAATATGCAAATTCCTATATCTACTTTTAATATCTTTTAATTAAATCAATTCATCTTTATTATTTTTTCAAATTCACGAGAAGGTTATAGGTTTTAAAAAATACAACATAGTGTAATGGAAGTCAATCGTGGTTGTTTTGTAACTTATAATTTTTAGCATTTTTTCTGTTAATTAAAATTATAATTTGAGAATAATTGATGTCTGTTTGTTCCTCTGTGTTGTGGAATGCTTTATGCGGTATTTTTTGACATGAAACGCGCTTGTTGGTAAAAATAGTTTCTGAAGAAGACCAAATGCATGGTCGAAACGTCGGCATATTTTTTTCAGAAAGGGAAATTTATTTTTTATTTCTGAAGTCCTAGACCCATTATCTCTGCGCTGTTGTTATATATTATATATTTTAAAAATTTGGTATAATTTTTTTCAAGACTATCAAGACCAAGACCAAGACCAAGACTGAGCCAGTCTTGTCTTGGTCTTGAAACGTCAAGACCAAGACCTAGACCAAGACTGCATTTATTTTTCGAGACCAAGACCAAGACTGGCCAGTCTTGGTCTTGGTCTTGGTCTTGCGAAGCCCTATGTAGTGTAATAATAGAAATGTTAATAAAATCGAGTATGAAAATCAAAACAATTACATAGCAGTACTTCGCTTAAAGTTAAAAAAGAAATCTCACGAAGAGTGCAATTCCGAAGACTTTAACTTGCGTTGCAATGAGTGGGTGAATGAATTTTCAATAATAACAAAGACACAATGGATAGTGAAAAAAACTTTGTCAAACTGCAGATTATTGTTTCGTAAACAATACGTATGCCATCACAACAGCTTTAATAAAGTATCGGCAGATAAATAAAACTATCAAACTTTATATCATTGAAATCAGCAAAAACAGAACTATCTAAACACACTCGACAAATTCTCAAAACCTGTGAAAATTACTGCGGTCAACAAAAATCGCGAAAGACCGATTTCTTTCGAATAGTCACTCTGAGACGAGACGATTCACTGTTATATATTGCTTTCAAATTCTTAAAATAACCAAATAAAAGAGTGTTTTATTTTATGTTTATATAATTTTCTATCTAAACTGTATGCAAAATAAGTTTACGCCCAATCAAAACAACAACATTTTGGTCCAATAACTGCCATAAATCATTAGAGTCTTGTTTTTAAAAGAGTAGAGTCGACGAGTTCAAATGTGTTCAGTGGCTCTATATTAACTTGACCTATGAGCGTGCGGTTAAGTGCACTTTACCGCTCTTATTTGCAAGTGGAAAGCAGACTTTACCGCATAATATGCAGTGAAGCTACCTTATCGCATAGTGTGCGGTGAAGTGCTGCTTTCGACTCGCAATTAAGAGCGGTACAATTGACCGAACGACGCGAGCAAAATTCTACTCGTTCACTGTCAAACAAATTTCTCTCGCTTACGGTAATAACCTAGTTACCAAACTTATTAATAACTATTATATCACAAAAACAAAACCGTCGATTTTATTGAAACTATTATCCTTAGGGGTGATTATTCCAGTGGCATCCCGCACCCTTTGTAAAAAAAGTACGAAAATGTCCACACCACTGGAAAATTTCAATATTTTCCGGATCCTTGGGTAATGTTACATTTTTATACATAAGCGAGAGTACATCTCTTGCATTTTTTTTTTCACTTCGGATACGAAATTAATTCACTATGAGTCAAAACTCACGAAAGACGAGACCAGAGAATAGCTCTCTCGTTTCGAAACGAGGGTCTCTCATCAAGACGAAAGATTCATTTTCTCTCGAACCCTCGAGACAAGACGAAAGAGAGCGGATTCTCGTCTTGTCTCGTCTCGCGGCATCAGTAGACCAATCTCCGTTTCAAAAATCGTAGAAAAAGAATGTGTGCACATATCGAAAATACTTTTAAATTTGGTGATCAATCAATATGGTTCCAACAAAAAAGCACTACCCTTTGTGCAATGGGTGATCTAATCGAATATGTAACAGAACAACTTGTCACCAAGAACCATTTAATGATAATGAATCATTTGCATAGGGCTTTTGACATAGTCTGTCTTGAAGTTGAAAAAATGGAAAGAGGTACCTACCTACAGCATATAAATTACTGAAGAGTTATTGAAAAAAAAAAACAGAACACATTATAATATAGTAATAGACAAAAGTAAATGTGATAAAACCAACTGAAATGTGGTAGTCGCGTAAGGATCGGTATTATGACCTATTCATATCTCTAGTGTGTCCATAGTCTGTAGGTAATATTTAGAACTTAAATCAAGATATGTTCGCCGATGACACACTACTCATACTATCACTTAGTGACTCAAAAACTCTTGAATAAAATGCAGATGAGGACTTACACCTTTATAATAAAAGGTTATGTAAAAACACACTTTAATAATTATTTGAAAATGTTTCGCTAGATTCAGGATTACCTCCAAGAACTTTTCGTAGAAGCAGTTTTAACACTTGACATCTGACATAATTTTAAAACAGAATTTAGTGAAAATTTATTTTATGTCATACCAATACATTATTGTGTTTTTATACCTTAGATACCATCTACATAATTCATTACTTTATGCCCGTGCGGGCATAAAGTACACATTATGGCCCGCGCGGGCATAAAGACGCAAAAAACAGTTTTCAATTAACTTATTCTTTATTAAAAAAATATAAATTTACGCTTATAAACATATTATTTTTGTCAAAAAATTATGATGTTTGCACACTGATGACAATTTGCGAAGTGACACTTTTTTCCCAGGTATTTATTATTCACAACCAACTGGTATGACATAAAAGTTTGTATTCACCACGGGTAGGTACTAATAGATATATACCCTCGGGCGACTTACGAACCCTCGGGCCAGAGGCCCTTGGCTTTGTAAAACTGTCGCCCTCAGGGCATAATCATCTACTTAGTACCCTTGATGCATAAATAACTATTATATCGGTAAAGACTGACTTTTTTAGACATCAAAACCACACAAAAAAAAAAAGTATACCTACAATTCGAATGAATCAGATGAACAAAATGAAATTGTTGATATGATTGTTAAAATTCCAATACCATTTATCCGTAAATTTACAGTTTAGAAATTTCGAATAATTTCTACATGCCTACTTTTATTTGCCTTGTAGCTATAAACTTCTGATTTAATGCAAACACCACACACTTCCTACTTACCAGTCGGATGAATATTATGATCGGGTGATCTCGACTGATGAACCCCGATCAATGGTGAATGCTGCGAAACACCATCCATTATGACTCTTTTGAAATAAATGTTGCACAAAACTTTACACAAACACCAAAGAAAAAGTCCCTCCTATTCAAAAGTAACAGGTGAAACTCAGAGTGTTCCAGCAGGATGATGTTCGGCGCTATCGGCTGCAGGAAATGATCAAGATATATCTCGGGGTGCGTGAGGTGGTGAACGTCAGACACGGGGCGGGATCAGATCTCGCTACCCTGTATTTAACTTCTGTTGTGGCGTGCGCGGCTGCGCCCTACCCCGCGCCCTTCGTCCCCTTCTCATTCCCGACAACCCCTCGCTGCTCACGACTCCCCTTTTTAACCCTGCCGGCGATCGTGGCGCGTTAGAATGTACCCTTTTTGATTTAATGGTGTTACGAGACGAAGCGTCCCATTTATATTCATGGGATTTTTGAGTAACTTTTCCCTTTTCTTTTTCGTCTTTCCGAAGTAAGAGTTTATTAGATGGGAGAAAAATTTTATCCTTGTATATTCAAGAAAAAATTATATGATAGTGTGGCTTTTCGTTAGCAATCGGGACATCTAACCACCAAAAAGGACATCTTAATATACAAGATCATTTGAAATTAATTAAAGCTCTTCAACAATAATGTTCGATATATAATCAAACAGACTGCAGCTGAAGCCTCAACTATGCGTATGTGCTCAAATTAATGCATTTTTATTTCAATTATAGATTTTACTTTAATAAATGGGACAAATTCATGTGAGGGCATCATTGGCTAATTACTTTGTTAAAGTGTTATAACTTCTTTATTCTGTTTAATTGAACGCTGAGCTAGAAATAAGTAGATCAGGGATTTGTGTATATATAAGAACTTCAGGACGCCGAGGTGAGAATGAATAATGCCCTAATGTTGGTTCATTACCATATGTATTTATCTATACAGTCTTTAAACAGCTTCCATATGTTTTCTGGTTTAGATCTTAGTTGGCTCATTTGCATTCTTGTTTCCTGGAGATATCTCCTGCTCACCGCCATTTCAACTAAGCTTATTTAATCACATATGCAACCGTCTTTCTTGTTCTTCTTGCTTCCGATATCCCAGCCTAATGTCAAATATAGCTCAGCATACCTTAATCAATATTTTATACTCTTTGAGCTCTCTTCTATAAAAATTGCCGTTCTCATCTTGCATGTTTTCAATGGGCAGGATAAAGTAGTGGAATACTTTTCTTTGAGGGTCATAGGGATGTTCGCAGATCTTGAGGCAATCAATTTTGCCGTCCAGCTTGGACTTATTCCTGCGGATATATTTGATATTGGATTTGGCTTTCAAAGCTTAATCGTATGATTTGAGTATAGCTATGTTGGCATTCGTGACATTTTCAAGAGTTTCATGCCCCATTGCTTTTTCTATATTAAGTAGTTATAGTCATCAATATTTTTGTTCTATATAATATAATTTTGCGAGAAATTGTTTTTGTAGGTCTTCTACCATAGATTCTATCGCAAGAGATCCAGATTGTTAAAGGGTATTAGCGATACAGGTCTGGGAACTTGGAAATAAGCGAATGAGAGCTGCAAACATTAGGATGGAATGGGAGAAGTTGAAAGACGACTCCATATCCAGAATTGGATGAGAGTAATTAGAAAGATATTCCAGTTCCTTAATTTTCTAAAACTGTTCCGGGTACATGACCGGAATATGAAACGGTCGCCAGATCCATTCAAAGCAAGTGACGATTCTGCAGATATAAGAAAGAAGCAAATTGCGAATCGTTCCAGACTATCTAGACTATTAAATTTTTTGTCCTGCGGACTGAAGTTATTTGAAAAAAGTTTTGAAAAATCGTACTTTCAGTTATTCTCACCTCACCATATCACGCGCCAAAAACAAAAAATATATACATTCTTATAGGTAGGTATCATAACATCTTCAATATGTATCGAACTCTCTTTCGCAAATTAGGTATATCTACAATTCATTTGCCAACCGATAGGAACTTCATCTCATTATTTTTATCTTATCATTTCACATCTTCCATTCCTTAAGCTTAGCAACGAATTCAAACTGATGCGCGCTCTCGTACTTAATAGCAAAACTCGATATCTAAGAATCCGGTGTAGTCGTGTCTCGCTGAAGGGGTGCTTTTCTTTCATCCCCCGTTCCGTGACGGTCACATTCTAGCGAACGTTGACTTGTGAGCTGGTGGTTGCTGGAGCGTCAGCGCCATTGGCCGCGCCACGTTAATCCCATTGGCCTGGCACCGTGCTCTTTCACAGGGACCGCCACGCCTCCTCCCTCACCCACCCGAATGACCTGGACCCCACACGATATAAAGTCCTGTGGGAACAATAAAAAAAGAATCGAGTTGCCAGATTTTGATTAAAAGTATATTTGTTGGATTTTCATGGAATAGTGTGCGTTCGGTAGGTAGATAGGAGTTTGATTCGATTTTATATAGCTTAAGGTATAAAAACGAAAATTAAAACAAGATTACAGCCGGGGCTCAACAAACAATTTATATGCTAGTAGATATTGTTTTCAAGAAGTATACTTGAATACTTTTAATGAAATTTTAATTAGAACCAAACTGCTTCGATACGCGAAGCCGAAAAAAGTTTACCTCCAATCTCTTACCAAAGACACTCTTTTTTTTTCTGGGTTTCGGAAGAAACAGTAATTCAATTGTAAACAAAAACAAGTTTTTGAATATCTCTTGTAGTTTTGCAGAAATTAGAGTTCAACAGAAAAACGACACCTTTGAATCTCTCATGACTTTCATTATTTGGTGTGTCAGTTATTCGAAATAGTTATTTATGATATAAGTGCTAAAAGTGACATTTTATTTTGTGAAAAGGGAAGATTGGGAAACGACGCCGAAGGCGGAGTGCTCCATCCCTTTGAACAAAATAAAATCACTTTTAGCACGAATATCATACACTATTTTTTCTACAAACGCACTAAAAGTGATTACTTTTAGCACTAGTGCTAAAAGTAATCACTTTTAACACCAGTGTCATAAAATGGCATTTTACACACTGACAGCATCCGTTAAAAATGACCCTTTTATTGACGTTTGTAGAAAAAACTTTTTTCAATTATTATAGGTACATGGTAAAAAAAGTTAAGACTCTATAACAAGCGTCGCAACATGTAGGTTAGGTTAGGTCGAAAATGAGTGGACCTATTACGGCCCTCCATCACTGCGACTCGTTGGTCTACTGTGGCTCATGCCTATTTATATTTCTCTAATGGCTGCAATCATGATGCCTATTTTTCCAGTGAAGTCCAGGAGAGTGCTTGGAGAGATGTTGTTCAGGCCTTCCCATGGGACCATTGCCCCACCTAAGATACGATGCCTCAGTCTGCCACCTGCCGGACTTTCACAAAGACGCAGCTGTTTCCTCGTCCTCCATGCATGCATAGCCTGCACTCAGCATCATCTGCCATTCCAACACTGTGCATGTATTTTAGCCTACAGTGTCCAGTGTATAAGCGGAATAGTGTTTTCAGCTTAGAGTCCTGCCGAATTCCAGCATTCTTCCAACTGACCCTCCTTCCACAGGTTATCTTATGATTGCCTTTGCTTGTGTCATTCCGGGCAGGTTTAGCCAATGTTCGTGAACTTTATTGCCCGCCCAGATTTTAATGGTTTGATTTGCCATCTTATGGGCTCTGGGTCTTGTGAAGTTGGTTTCGGCTCTCCCTACTCTGGCAAGGAGACCCGCCATTTCGTTGCCCTCAAGGACAGCGTGTCCCGGTATCTACAATGGGGTTACCTTATTTTCCTTCCCTAATTTGCTAAAAGCTTCCTGACAGCTCCACACTGTTCTTGAATTACAGTAGGTAGAGCTAAGAGCCTTGGCTGTCAGAGCATATTTTTATGAATGGGGTTGAATGCTGTGTGCACGTTAAATAGTTGAACAAAAAGAAAGGCTTATATTTCGTGCAAAATATTTCAATATCAAATCATATCCAATATTTTTATGGTTTTGTGAATCTAGATTCGATTCTGCAGTCTCCTCACACGCATTTTAATGGCATGCACTTCCGCAACATGTATACTATGCGATTGATAGGGGGCCTTAACTGCAGTCTTCTTTTGCGTTTCTAGCTGAAAAAAAATGCGAATAGAAGATAATAAGAAGCTGTAGTTGAATTAAATCCAAACGGCAGTAATGTAAACAACTGGTCATTTGCATAACAACTTATATCAAATGTCCTCTGTGCATGCGCACTGCTTCTGGTAGGGCGTTTCAATTCCAATAGGAAATCTGGATTACCAGCTGGTGTTTGTTTCCAATTTAGGTTATTTATTGTCACACTTGCCGCTTGGATTTGATTCAACTAGAGAAAGTGATTCTCTTATTGTTTAGATGGAAAACTTGGTGTTCCTTATTCGTTTAATTTAACTATTACAAAGAATTGCTTGTTTGTATAACTACTGGACACCCTTGTTGACCCCTTGAACACCTACCTTATTGAATTCTCTGTGAATTTAAAGCCATTTATTGGTGTTGATGAATACACCAACTCTTATTTGCCTCTTCTTTTTGTCCGTTGCGGTAATAATGACATTAAAAGTTTCACAATTTTCTTTATAATTATTTATTTATTTATTTAATTCAATCCTACACAATAGGCGTTGCCCAATTACAGTGTATAAAATAATAAGACTATACTAAATATCTATATATTTACGACTTACACTATACTACAAACTAAAGCTAAGCTGATTTTACATTAGCATGTCGCAAAAGTGAAACTTAGGCAGGTACTACTAAATAAATAAATTTGAATAGACTGTAAAAAGTAATAAACTGTGAACCTATACTGAATTAAATATTTGAAAGAAAAAGAAAACACAGTGGAATGTTGACCTTAGAGATATCATTCATATTTTTGGTAGATTATTTTCAATTCATCTAACGAAATGTGGAAGTAGTCAATGTTGAATGAAATGTACCTACATATCACAAATTTTAAAACTGGGATAGTTTCATGGTATTTGTACGCACGTTAGGTAGATAAAACATCTCAT